TGGTCCGGCCTGCAGGGAGGGCACCCTACGAGGAGGGAAGCTGCAGGTCCTAAGTGGGAACTGCATGCCTTTCCTTTCCCCTTCCTCCTTTTCCTTCCTTCCTTCCTTCCTTCCTCCCTTCCTTCCTTCCTTCCTCCCTTCCTTCCTTCCTTCCTCCCTTCCTTCCTTCCTTCCTCCCTTCCTTCCTTCCTTCCTCCCTTCCTTCCTTCCTTCCTCCCTTCCTTCCTTCCTTCCTCCCTTCCTTCCTTCCTTCCTCCCTTCCTTCCTTCCTTCCTCCCTTCCTTCCTTCCTTCCTCCCTTCCTTCCTTCCTTCCTCCCTTCCTTCCTTCCTTCCTCCCTTCCTTCCTTCCTTCCTTCCTTCCTTCCTTTCCTTCTTCTCACTCTAATATTTTTTATTCTTTTATTTTGCTTTCTTTTCCTCCTTCCTTTCCCTCTTCTCTTTGCTTCCTTCCCTTTTCTCCTTCCCTCTTTCCATGTGGCAAAGAACCTAAGGATGCCTTTTAAAGGGAGAGAGGGAAAAAACTAAATGGGGTTTGGAAGCCTCGGATCGAAGTGCTCCGCTGCGCGCACGATGAGATGTAGCATCCTCCGGGGGCTTCATCCCCTATGCCGGGGCTGCGCGGGGCGCTGCGCGGGTTCTTGCGCAGGTCGTTGCGCGGTCGCTGCGCGGGGCGCTGCGCGGGTCGGCACGCGAGCTGCCCCAGCGCCTGGTTTCCATACGAAAAGCCTCCTCCGAGCTCTTGTCCCCTGCCCGCGGGAGCTCCGCAGACGGCGGTCTGGAGGGGTCGGGGGGTGTGGGGTGTGGGGGTGGCAGCACGGCTGGGTCGGGCCACCTTGTGCCCGCCCGGGGTCAGGAGCGGGTCGGGGTCCCGGCTTTGGGGTCCGGGGTCGAGTTGCGTGCCTGGGAACGGGGCTGCCGGCCGGGAACGGGCAGGGGGCAGCGGGGAGGCTCCTCGTGTGTAACAGGATTATCTTTGCCATTTCAAGTTCCATACAGCATGTAATTTATTTTTAATTAGGATTAGATCGAGCAGGGAAGGAGACCAGAGCTTCGCCCCCTCCTCCCCCTCCCACAAAGACACTGCTATTCCACGAGGAGCTCTTACTCTTTATAAAAAAATCAATCAATCAATAAACCAGGACCTGCGTTCACCTCCCACACATTTTGCAGGAGAGAAGGGTGCAAAGGGCTGTATTTTCAGTGCGTGCTCAAGCATCCACATCAGAAGAGGCTTGGAAATCTCTTTCCCATCCACCTGGCCCCAACCTCACGTGCTTGTGATCCAAACCCCTTCTTAAGAGGCTCCCAGTGGAGTCTTCCTCCTCTTGCCTTTTTTTTTTTTTTTTTTTTTTTAAGAGAGCAAAATGCACTTTCTGTCTTCCTGGATTATTCTTTTTCCACAGTCATGACTCTGAGTTTCAAAAAGTACTATCAGTCGCTCCGCTGGAGCAGAGCCTTCTCCCCGATAGTTTGGATAGAGTCCATTACAGAAATGTTCTGAAAGGCTAGTGAAGAATCCCGTTTCACTGCTCAGAAATAAACATATGGATCAGCTGCATTAAAGGCACTTCTTTGAAATATTGTGGTTAAACAGCCCAGATTGGTTGATCGCTCCATGTGGGGACATATGTTCTTGCAAACTGTGCGTATTGTTACTAATGGGGATTCTCACACCGCAGCCTTTCCTTTGAATCTGAGGCACTGGTGGTTTCTCCAGAGCTGTTGCAAGCTTGTTTTAATAATTTACCAGCTCTCTTGCACTTAGTCTTGTTGTGGAGACTCAGAACCTGCTAA